AAGGTATGAACCAAGGACATAGTGTTGAATAACCTGCAGTTTTCAGAGTATTTGTTAAAAGAGCCATCCTTATAAGGAGGCAATATGAAGCTCTGCTGGGACAGAAGCCCCATGGAAGCCACATCTGCCATTACTGGTTTGGCTGAATCTCAAAATCCATCCATGACACAGCACAGCGATGTCTCCAGGATTCTGAAGGAAAAAATTCCTGACCCTGCCATGGCATACCACACTATGCAGCAAATAGTTGAGAAATATTTAAATATTTTAATAAATTAAGCCAGGAGGTCTTGAAAAATCAGACCAAAAATTATCTGTATAGTCCATGGTTATTTTTTAAATTTTAGTCTATCATTATTGTAAACCTTCTTTCAATTTAGAGATTGGTTACATTATTTTAATAAATGGAAACATAATCATAGTTCTATTTAAAGCTGTAAGTAGCTAACCATTTGTATATCTTCTATTTATGAAAAAGCCACACAAAATAAACAAACTGACAAAACACGTTTTTCAGGCAGATTCCAGGATAAGTTTCAGGGTCAGAGAAATGTCTGACCAGTCGGCCTTCTACCCCTTCCAGAGCTTCAATAAATACTCTAAGTGATAATCAATGTCCATTACGACAAGCCAAACAGAGCTACGAGACGGTCAGTGTTTTCTGAATTGCCACTGCATCAAGAATCATTTTAGTTTAGCTGCATTTAATGGTTTTCTAATGGTTATTAACCAGACTCTAGATAAGCGATTGTTTGCTGTACTAAAGCATAGAAAACTATAAGTCTAATGAGGTAAAATATGACTTTCAGGCTAACTGAAAATTTGCAGGCCAACTATCAGAATACATGTCATGATTATATTTCAGGTGACATAATTTGCTCATGACTATCTCCGGTAAGTATATATGTCAGTAAATTTCAACTACTCAGATGCCTGCCCTCATGTCCTAGGGTGTAGATCACGATCTACTTTTATTCCAAACCTCCTCTTCTGAAGGTAGTGCAATCACTTCCAGCTTCACAGCACATCATTCTCACATTCCACTGTTAACATCGGGTGAACATGTGAAGGTATCTGCTGAATGAGTCCTAAGTAGGGCACTGTCACTCATGAAAGGAATGCAGCATGGAATGCATGGAGGCCACCTGCATCCTGATGATGCAGTGAAACCATCCAATTGTTTTTCATTTTGTAGAATTTACTTTTGTGTCCAGAAACTATGTTAGATAATCTGAAAGGAGATAAAATTGTATGAATATTTTCCAAAGTTAGCCTGCTCAAGAAATGGAATAAGTCATCTAAGCCTGTTCAATTCCTTTTAAAAAGAACCACAAACTAAACTGAAAGTCATTTCAACATTTCAGTTTTTCCCTTTAAGAGTTATTAGAAAGTGGGTATACTGTAAATATTATTTTACCTTAGTCTTCCTGAAGATTCCATGCCTCTTGTAAAGGCTTTGGAAATGGTCCAGTTCAATAACCTGAAACTGGCCTGCATTACATCACAGTAGAGAGAAACACTATTTTATTTATAGTCACCATCTCACACACATTTACTATTTCCAGCCTCCTGAGGAGGACAGAAAACTGTCCTACAAATTTAATATAGGAGAAAGTATGCATTAGATCACTTCCTACTTAGCATTTTTCTAATTTTAGAAAAAATACATAATGGCATTCAAATCAACAAATATTTATTGAGCATTCACTCTAGTTCAGGTGCTCTTATAAAAATAATAACACAAAGGTTAGTCTTTCTTTTGTTATGAAGATCAATTATTTCAATGTCTTTATAGAGTTTTTCAATATTTATTTTTAAAATCTTCCTTTTCCCTTTGGGAAGTTGGAAATAACCTGTTTTCCAAATACAGGGAGGCATTTTCTTTCTACCTCATGTCTGGAATTTGCCTCTGTAATTGTGGGCATTCCCACCCACCTATTGTTACTTTAAAACAATGCTACTTTGTACAAAGTTGTTGAAAGCCAGGTAATTCATTGAACAACTCAAGGAAGGTGGCCAGAACTATGATCAGATGTGCAGTCTCCTCAAGAGACCCAGGTTGTTTGGGATTCCAGGATCAGGGCAGGAAGGTGAGAGCAGTGGACTCACAGGACAGGAGGGGAATGAGAGAATTTAGCACATGGCTATCCACCTAACAAAGCAACAGTAAGGTAAACATCTAGGGATGGTGGTAGCAATTTCTGTAGGAATCTAGTCAGATGAGACTTGAGGCTGAGAATTGGAAGAAGAAGAAAGGGGATTCAGGCCAAAGGTAGGGGAAGGGCTGTTGATACCCTGGTACTGCCAGAAAGGCAGCCATCCTGCAGGTTTCAGGGCAGTTCTTATGCATATAGTCCAATGATAATGGGCTACAGAGGGTGCCAAGAGGGTAGACCTCTTTATCCACTAGTCCTTGGAATTAGGTATATGTAGGTTTGGGATGGGGGCAGGTGAGGAGAAGGAAGAAATTACTTTTTAAAAAATATATGGAAGGAGAAAACTGAATTTTAGTCAAGTTCTAAATAACATATAACTTTTCCTGTTTTTCCATGTTTAATTTTTTAATATTTTTATTCTTGTTCAATTACAAATGTCCCCATTTTGCCCTCATTACTTTCCCCTGTGCTACCTTTTGACCTTGATATACTATAACTTCATGATTATGTCTTCTCATTTCCATCCATAGAAAGAATTCACAGTCATTAGTCTACAGAACCCATTGTGGTGTTTTTACAAGACACCACTTCTCATTTTTAATTTCACATGTACAAAATTTTAATATTTAAAATTGTTATGCTGATTTAATAAAAAGCAGTTCTATATACCAATTAATAAATCTTCTCCCACTGTAGATTTCTAGGGAGATAGATTTTGATTACTAGTAACCTATCCTTTATATAAAAGTATGAAATGGACAACAAAAACACAGTTTCTTTAGTGATCTGGAATAATCAACTTCCCACATACATGAGAAATGTTAAGTGATTTTCATCTTAATTAGGTTTATAAATCAGTGGGAATATTAGTTCACTTATAAAAATAAATTAAAGTATGTCTAATGTAAACATGTGCCTCCCTGACGCAATCTATCCCACTAATTATACTTTCAGACTGTGAGGCGTATTTAAATACAAGATTTCCATAGCTCCCATTTATCTGTAGCCTAATAAACAAAGTTCCAATCGAACTGAAAAATAGAATATCAGGTTCTTTCTTGAATAGAAGTTTTCAATTTTGATACACACAATCATTGGTTTGCATGACCCTACAATGTATTGCCCAGATGAAAACAAAAAAAGTTAAAGAAACACAGTGGTCAAAATTGGCATTTCGTGGTCCTTTAAACTTTTCTACCTGATAAAAAGTAGAATATTATTTCTGCACTGACTAGTGTGTCTCAGTGGGTTGGGCACTGTCCAGCAAGCCAAAAGGTTGCCAGTTCTATTCCCGTTCAGGGCACATGCCTGGGTTGCAGTCCAGGTCCCCAGCTCGGGGCGTACAGGATGCATCTGATCAATGTTTCCCTACCACATCTCTGTTTCTCTTCCTTTCTCTCCTTCTCCCTCCTGCCCCCCTCCTCTAAGAATAAATAAATAAATAAATAAATAAAATCTTTAAAAAAAAATTATTTCTGTAACCAATCAAAGGAAGTAACAGGACTCCATTCCCCCTCAATGGCTAACTCTCTGTGAGTTTCTTAGCTGTATGATTTTAGGATTCTTCACGTTGTAGTTTGTCTTTATATTTACCTAAAAAATAATTGTGGTAATAATCAACCTAAAATTAGAGAGAAAAGATACCAATTAAAGAGTAAAAACCTGTTAAAAATATTAATTTACCTTTTAGGATCCCAAGATTCTGAGAAGCCTATCTATAAGATTTCCCAGTCATTGAAAAAAGTCTTTTATAATTACTCCAGGGATGGTTTAAACTAACCTGATGCATCAAAAGTCACCATTCACAGACCTAAAAATACACCAATATTTTAACAACCAGTTCCTTATGATTCACAGTTTTGATAAACATGTTTAGGTTCCATGAAATACATTACCTTTGAACTTAATTGAAACTACCTTATACATGAGCATTTATAATTTCTTATATCTGTCAGCCTGAGAAAAGAATTCTGATTGAGGAAATAGAAGAGTCACTCTTTGCATTTTCCTATGATAATGTAAATAAAATAAAAATATGATTTCTCTTCTATTTAAAAGCAAGAGAGCTCAAAAAGTCTACCTGAATATTTTCCACTTTCTTCCAAGAGACGAAATATCACATCAGGCAGGAAACACCTTCTCTGGATTAGTGACAAGTGAAGCACAAGGACACCCGTCAGCCTTCACTTCAGTGTAGGCAGGCATGCTCAGAAACAGAGAATACAATTCTGCCTTTTCATTGAAGTGACACACATCATATCATTCCTTCCTCTGCACGTCACCAAGCAGAAAAGTTCCCCAGCAATAAAACTACTCAATCTTGGTTGAACGCCAGGCTATCCTTAAAAAATAAAACCTCAGTACTAAAGAAAGAGATGATGATGATGATGATGATGATGATGGTAATGAAGATGATGGTGATCGTGATGATGATGATGATGATGACGATGAATCTAGTTTAGTAATTTCTTTAGAAGGAAGGAGAAAAAGTTATCTCCATTCTTATACTAATTTCTCTGCAGCACAGTAAACTTATTCAGGAGGTGGGAAATTCAGCAGATTTATTTAGAAGTTAATTTGGATTGCAGCAGAAATCTAAAGGGCTCAGGAAGCACTTAAAGCTTCAGTAGAAACTGGATACTTGTGAAGAGTCTCAAAGGTTAAAAAAATGTCCTCCTCTCACTACCCCAGGTGCCCCCCAATAACTTATGTTTTAGTTCCAATTTCCCTTTTGTTCCCAGCCAAGTCATAGCATCAAATCTGTAAAGCTATAACACTATTCAGGGTAAATTCTGTAAAATAGGAGAAAAGAATCCCTGGTATAAGTTGGGATTTAGGATTTACCTGCTCTGATCCCAGTTGGCAGCAAAAAGGACTAGTATCTTCCTGCCATAGTGGTCCAGATTGGCCAGGCCCCCAGGGAAGCCATCCTTCAGTGCCTGCTTGATGCCAGGGTCAGTGGCCTTGAAGCTTTTAAACATGTCCAGGTTCTGCTGCCGGTACTCAAAGTATTGGGCCAGGAGACGGAAGGCCTCAAAGTGATGAAACTTCCTGGCCCTCAAGAAGCGTAAGATGAAGGCATCATCCGTACGCAGGAAGCCAATGTCCGGCCTGGTGATGACCATGTCTCTCACCTCCTGGATGTCCTGGTGCAGTGTATCTGGGTTCTCGTTGAGCTCCAGGCGAGCTTTCTCCAGGGTCTCAGGAGACAGCCCAGCTTGTAAGTGAGTCATTGTTCTGTCTGTTTCCTGAGCCTTCCCTTCCTCCTGCTGACTGTCCCACAACAAACCTGGCCCTTGTCACTACCACACTCTGGCCTCCAGACCTGGAAGATGCCTGCTTCCTCTTCTTTACAGGAAATGATTTGTCTTTGTGTCCAATCAAGTACCCTGTTGCTCCCGCTTTCCCACCGCTTTATTTATGAAGGAGATAAACTTCTTTTCCCACTCCCTTGAAAAACCGCCCCCACTTTGGTTCCCTCTTTCCTTTCCTCTAAAGAGATGCGCACCTTTGGCCGTCCCAGCGCTCCTCTTCTCGTCCTTTGAGTCCCCTAACAAAACACGCCTAATCGCACCCCGCACGGGCGGTGCTGATCTTGGTGCTGTCCTCTTCTCTCCCAAGATGTAACAAAAACAACTCCCACGCACATCTCAGCCGCAACACTTTGACGCTTCTGCGGTCCCTACCGAAGGATGCTCCAGTCAAGGATAACGATGGGGATTGTGATTAATAACAAGGTGGCTCTTCAGCGCTGAGCTCCAAGCAGGGGAAGAGCGTCTTTGCCAGAAAGAAAAAGACAGAGAAAGAGGGGGAAAAGGAGCTTATTTCTCCTTCTGCTTATTCAAAGAAGCTATTTGTAAAATATATTTGTGGGATTTTATTTAAAATTATTATGATCCGATTAGGTGGAGACTCTGTATATAGCGCACCTTCCCTCCGCCCCTCTTGGATACACCCGCGATCTCATAAGGCACCAGAAGGGTTTTTGGTGGCGTTGGCACCAGCGTGGGCTCCCCCCACCCCCACCCCCACCCCCACCCCCAACTTCTGCCTTTCTCTGGCCCTTTATTTCAACGGACTTGCCCCGGAGGACTGGAGGAATCGCTCTGGGAATGTACATTACAAATGCTAGGTGGGGTGAGAAGGTGCAAAAGAGGAGTGGAGAATAAAATCAGAATGCCTCCACCTTTTTATAAAACCCCAGAGCAAGAGGGAAGAAAGAGCAGAAGGCTCCTACCAGCAAACCCGGAGGCGGGGACGCTAAGCAATGCGGCACTTCCTGGCATCCATCAGCCGCGGTTTCAGCAACGGCGGCGGCGGCGACAGCAGCATCAACTCCGCTCGGTGGGATGGTTCCAGCAGAGAAGAGGGGCGGTAGCGGGTTCCCGGGCCGAGGACGCACTGGGGAGCAGCCGCGGCCACATAGTCCACGACCAACCCGCTTCCCCTCCCAGGAGGAGAGGTAGAGAGGAGAGCAAAGCTAGGGCCACCTCTGTCCCGGGTCCTCGCTCAGCCCTGCCATTCTCGCTCTCAAGAGAGAAGGGAAGGAGCGGGAACTGAACGCCTGGTGGTGAAGGCCAGGCGGGCGGCCTCCGCCTTTGTGCACCCGGGACCGCCGGGGTGGTGGGCGCGGTGGGGTGGCTGCCGAGGGGCGCCGGCCACCTCTCTGCTTGCTTGCCCGGACGCTGGGAGTCAGGCGCTCGCCCCTTGCTGCTGCTGCTGCTGCTGCAGCTGCTGCTGACTGAGGCTCCTGCTGCTGCTGCCGAAAGGCGAACTCGGTTCAGCTCAACTCCTCTCTAATTATCCCAGCACGGATCTCACTGCAACGACGTAAGCACTCAGCTCACGCGCGCACTCCTCGCCTCTCTGCCAGATTCGTTCGGTAGGGCGGCAATTTAGGTGGCATTCATATATCCTGAGCCGCAAGTTTAGCCTGCTCCGGGTCCCGGCTTCCATCAGGTTACTCCCGCAGGCACCGCGGGGCCGGGAGGGACAGCGACGCTCTGCGTCCTCCCCACGTCCCTCTCCCACCCTTTGCCCACCCTTTGCGCGCGAGACCCTGGAGTGGTCCCGCGAGTAGTCGCTGTAGATGGTAATTCTCATTGACGCCCGTTTGCCAGTTTCTGTACGAGGTAATTTAATGAAGAAGTAGTACAGAAACACTTCATACTGTCTGTATTTGTTGTTCAAATCTTTAATTTAGAAGAGAAGATCAGAGTGTTTCCAAACCATGATGTTGATAATTAAGCCTTGGGGGAACTTATATACATAGTATTTCAACCCTAAACTGTGGCTGCTAAATTTGTATTGAAGAGGGAGGGGAAAAAATAGGCACTCCTTGACTCACTTCTTCTAATAAAACTAGTATTTCTGGAGACATACGATTCTTCACCCTGTGTTATGCACCTATACACTAGAATCATTGTAAGGAACGGGAATCATTAAGATGAACATGACTATATGCAGCTCCGAGAAAAAAAGAAATGTTTACCGTTTTCAAAGCACAACATGTGTTACTGAACAAGAGCAACTTGGAGCTTACCAAGTGTGGAACCGGCTACTGAGTTCAAGTCAAGCAATGCAAAAATACTTACCCACTTCTACTATGTGCAGGGCATTGCCCTAGATTCTATGGATAAGTGATCTTGAAAATAAGAAAATGAAATACTGTAAACTTTTTGGCTATTAGAACCCTTAGATTACAGGAATACACTTTTTGTTCTTCTCCTGGCCATGCTTTTTAAAATTGTTTTAAGAAGACATATGGCAGACCTATCTCATTTTACTAACTAAATTAATGCAGATAGTGTAGAAACCAGAATAACAGAATAAATTACACACATACACAGGCAGAGACAAAGTCATTATTCTCAAGAAATTTACATTTTAATTGGGGAGCAAATAATAAGCCACATAGGTATGTTTGTATATACGTACACACCATGTAACAGTCCTTCTAGGTCTATGTGATTGTGACTCTCCAAAACATTCCGAATGCAAGTGTTAAATAATGTGGTTCCATTTCAAAGAAAAGTAGTTTATTTGGGGCCAGGCCAGTATTCTAAAAATTGAAGAAAATTTGTCTCATATCGACTGTATGATGGTTGAAAAACCATCACCAGTATTGGAAGACAATTCTCCATGGATCTCTTGTATTTCTACTTGTCTATGAGCAAGGCACTAACTTCTCTCTTTTCCAGACTATACTTTCAAGGCTCTGTGTTAAACAATCTTGAAAGAGCCTTGGGAGCTAAAGATAGCATTTCCATTTGAACAAAGGGGAGGCTTGCTTACTGTTTAGGAAGACAGAGATAGTGTCTCTCTCCTGAACAAAAGGCAGACTGGCTTGAGTTCCCACAGCTCAGACTCGCTCTCCTGTAACAACACCCACTGTGTGAGCAAGCATTACCTGATGCTGTTAGGCTTATGAGAACTGGGGCTAGGAAACCAGCACACGATATGCCAATGCTCATACTGCTTGCTGTCCCCAAGTGATAGTCTTTATCCCTCTTACCAAGGAGTTTTCATCTTCTACCAGCATCAATGCAACTGTGGCCAGCTAATTGGTCAGCTTGCAAGTAGGCTAAAGGCTAAATCTCTAATTTTTCAAGGTGATTAAAAACCAACTGCTCAGTTTTACTCTCTGAGATGGCAATATTAGACTATATTTTTAGAATGAAATATAAAATTAAATTTACGTGTTGGTTCATGGTATAGCATTACCTATATTTAGTGATTTTTTTATATTTATCAATAATAGAATTGCTTCAAACCAAGTTCATTTTAATCTATCAATATATGATATAAATAGCCTTTGTCATGCAGTAGATCAGTTAGATACATCTAAGAGTATTTTTCATTATTTTTACAAATAATTAAGTCCTTCCTCCAAAGATCATACAATTATTCTTTCTATATTTACACATTTGAAGTCATTTCTGCAACCAAAATAAATATACAAAGCCTTCTGAGAACGAAACAAAGTGTTAATCCAAATGACATCAGAGCTTTGATTCTCATTCAATATTAATTTACTTCACCAAATTAATGCAAAGTAATGTAAGAACTAGAATATGAGCATAAATTAAATGAAGAATTAAAGCATAATTGAAAAAATAATTAAATCAAGGACTTCAGGTGTTTTCAAGTGACTGGAAAGGACAGTTTGATTTACTGCTGTATTTAAAATGGATAGACTAAGTAATTTGTCTTAAAGTGTTTTATTCCATTTATTAAATTACACAGAGAGAGAAAGGTTAAATAAAGATGTGCACAGCTCCATGTATATTACAGAGCAAACACCCATGTGAACACCCTTCTAAGCTAAGGAACAGAAGAACATCACCTGCACCCAGAAAGCCCCGCCCCCCCCCTCCTCTCCTAATTGCAAGTCTCTCCTTCCCAGCAAAGGAAGCCACACTACCTTCATTTTGAAAGTAATGAGAGAATGTTTTCCTTTGATATTTTACAAATTAAGTCACAATGCACTACAATTTAGTTTTTCCTGTTTTTTTTATTTAAATGAATGCAATCTTTTTGTGTCATTTTGTGATTGGATGGTCACATTCAACATTACATTTGTGAGATTCATCCCTATTGTTGAATGTAGTTAGCTCATCCATATTCAATGATGATGGAATTTTACTTTATGAACAATATACTTATCCATTCTACTGCTGATGAAAACTTATTTTTTAATTGTGGCTATTATAAATCTTGATATATGAACATTCTGGTATATATCTCTTGGTACACATATGCATACCTAGAAAGAAAATTGCTGTTTTGTATGGGGTGTGTATCTTCAAACTTAATAAATAATGCCAAACTATTTCCCAAATGGTTGTGTCATTTTGTTACAGGGTGCCGCCAAGAGGGGGGCCCCAAATAGGGATTTGGAGTGGGGTCCAGAACTCAAGGTGTTCAGGAAATATTAGAATGTCCTCACACCTTCCCCCACAGGTGTGAGCTGGGGGAAGGGACACATGGAGCAGGGCCACTGAGAGCTGTTTTGCATAGTAACAGCCTTGCAGCTAACCTCTGGTGTGGTCATTTAACATATCTATAACCTTTAACTGGTCACATAGATATGTTAAATAGCTGTGGCCATGCTCTAAACCAGGGGGATGGAAGTAACTTCCCCCCAAGATGTAACTAGGAGGCAACTCCCCCTGGTTGCAGCACCTGCATGAGAGCTTGGAGAAGATTGGCTACATGACACGGGGCCATGCCTGCCCAGACTCACAATGGAAGCCCAGTAAAGCTAGAAGGATATGAGAGTGCTGGCAAGTGTGATCAATTGTGGGAGTTGGAAATGGGGCTGCAGAGGAAGACTGGTACGGGGATTTAAACCCAGACTTGGCAGCCATTGGAGAGAGAACCATGTGGCTTTGCCAGAGTGGGGACTCTCTCGGCCATTGTTCAGAGAGGACCACAAGGCTGTGGCAGTGAAGGAGAGCCACACGGGTTGGCCAGAGTGGGGACCCCCACAACTTTAGTAGGGGGAATCACCACCCAGCTTTAGCAGAGATCCTGGCGACACAGCTGATGGTTCTGGGAACCGAGGAAGGCTACCAGCCAAGATGGATTAATGGGAAGAACCAGAGGCTTCCTGAGCCAAAGACTTCTATTTCTTTTCCTGAGATATGGCACCCCAGACTGGCCAAAGGGGGAAGGAAGGACTGTGTGTGTTTGTGGGTGTTTTAAGGGACTTTGGGATTTTGATGAAGACATTAGGTCATTACTTTAAGTTGGTATAGCATTAAATAAACATTTCCTTTCCTTTTCATGAATCTCTGGCATTGAGAGATGTCTTTCTTATAAGGTGGCAGACACAACGAACCTGGGGGGGTTCCTTTTGGTAATAGTATATTGCCCTTGCCCACCCCCCACCCCCGCCGTGTTCTGTAACAATTTCCCCCTCCTCTCAGTTGTGTGAGAGATTTCTCACTGGGCCGTAGTCTCACAAGTTCTTACTATTGTTCATCATTATCGTTTTTTATCAGCTCCGATTTTGAACAGGAGTATTACATGGTGGTTTGAGTATGCATTCTCAAGATTACTCATGAGGTTGAACAAGGTTTTCTACTTTTTGGCCATTTGTATAACTTTTTTGTGTGAAGTAACATGTCAAGAATTTTGCCCATTTTTACATTGGGTCGTTTATTGATTTACACAATTTTACATTTTAATGTACTTTATATTTTCCTGTTTGAATATGCTTTTTGGATCTTATTTAAGTGACTCACTGTGATAATGCCTTTGAGATGTTTTATTGTCTTCACCTTCCATATTTAGACCTGCAATCCACCAAGTATTGTTTTTTCCCCATATAAATATCCAGTTGACTCAGCCACCACTTATTGAGACCATTTATTTAAAAGACTGTACTTTTTTTCCTACTGTACAGAAGAGCTACTAGTCACAAAATAATTGTCCGTATATGAATGGATTTATTTCAATATGAATTTTAGACCCCAGAAGACATCATTGTTGTATGCAACCAATATTCCTCAGTGATTCTCAAAGTGTGGGCCCCAGGCCAGCAGTATTAACATGATCTGGGAACTTGTTAGAAGTGCAAATTCCCACCCTGACATATTGAATCAGAAATCCTGCTATGGGACCTCACAGTGTTTTCTGGCCAGACTCTCAGGTGACTCTAATTTATACTAAAACACTT